CTTGAGTTCTGACTCGAGGACCCAGGTAATCGAGTTCTCAATATATAGAATTCGAATACCTGGTATTCGAATACAGATTTAGTGTACTAGCAGTATTTGAACATTAGTCTCGTGTACATCGTTTCTATGTTTTTGTTTCGTTGTTTTATATATTTTTTTTTCTTAATCACTAAATCTATTAAATTACAGTACATTTAAATGTTTCATTAAAAATAAGCCTTAGGTATTAAGTAAAAAAATACTGGCGTCTAATGAAATACTTGAAAATTCATAGAAGTACTTGATTACTTGTCCGAGTTCATCAGACACGACCCAGATTTTGATTTTTTTAACGATTGCCAAAATATTGGGAACCTTCAAGAAAAGTATAGCTACATACAGCTTTATAAAAAGCCGGTAAGGAACAGACAACTACTTTGGTGTTGTTAGTATATATGAGCAGCGTTGATTACTTACGTGAGCCACGAGTTCATTTACCACCCTGTCACACAAAAAAGAATACTCGAATACCAAAAAGGAGGGAAAGGATTGTTGGTAATGCGGATTACCAGTTCCATTGTTAACAATATATCCTGGCAGGTCGACCTCTCCGTGGTATCCTCTAAAAACTGCTGAATTCCATTCATAGCGCCATGAATACAATTAATGGCAATGGGTTAATTGACCAGCCTTTTCATTCTCACCTATCACCCCTTATTGATGCCCCGACGGCGTTTACCGATTGCATAGGCAGGGTTATCATTTCGATATCATTGATTAAAGAAAAAATACCAAAACAGGTCGATGCAGCACATCACTAGTTCCCGTACGGCCGGTTCTCATCGGCTGTTACACGCGTTACAGTCGCTTGCACCGCGCCGTGACATAATCCGCTTACCCAGTAACCAGCCGGATATCAGCCAGGGCTTGCAACTCTGTTATTTTATTATTTACTAGTCGTACTCCTGGCTTCGTACGGGTGTACCAATGAAAAAAAAAGGAGACCAAATCTCCCCTTTACAGTACAATCATGTAATTAAATTTGACAATTTGTCAATTCTATTAATATTTTTAAAGATATTGTCTTTACTTCGTTTACTTTTTTTCATGGAGATTTTTTTAGTAAATATTTTAGTTTCTCGTGTGATTTTTCAAAGATTTTCTTTCATACAAACCTTGTCCTGATAATTTATAAATACAACAAAAAATAATTAACCAAAAGATGCGGCCATTTTGAATGATGAGTGACGTGCTTACAAACATTCGGCAAATTTGGATTTTTATTTTATTTTTATTATTTCAGTCGTTATTGTCCACTACTGGACATAAGCCTCATAAGAGGGGTTTTGCCAGTAGTTGCCACGATTGGTCGGCGGGTTAGCAACCGCAGTTAGAATTTTAGAGATGTTTTAAGAGGGAAGTTGCTGCTCATCTCTCGCCCTCCCTTAGTCGACTCCCATGGGAAAAGTAGGGAAAGGTAGGTACGGGAAAGGTTTATTTATATAGGTAAAGATAATTTTAGTTGGAAGTAGTTGGTTATGGTAATGCTATATTGCATAACTGACGAAATTCTACAGCGATTATTTATTTGAACGTATCGATATTTCGACCCTGTTGCAAGAGCCACGGTCACGACGTAACTGATGAAATACTGGTATGTCTTAAGGGCAAACATATCTGTTTATCGTCTATCTTCGACGGTTATTTTCGTCAGGGACGACAATACCGAAACTCAAATCGGCACGTTCTAATAAATAAACAATTATAGTATAATCATGGTTAAAAATCCGTCAGTTAAATACATATGTATGTATTAAGTTTATATAAACGTACGACTGCCGTGTCGTCCTGGCATAGAACGGGCTATCTGTTCCGTGGGTGTCGTCAGAGGCGACTAAGGGAACATAAAGGTTGAGGGATGGGCAGCAGCGTCCCTCTTAATGTATTACCAAAACCTAACTGCGGTTGTCAACCTGTCTGCCAAGCGTGGCAATTATTGGCAACATAGGAGCCTATGTCCAGTAGTGGACAGCTAATGACTGATATAATAATAACAAAATTTTTCTATGTATTGGCCTACATTCTTACTGTATGGGAACATCTATTTATAGTAACTCGAGTTATTTAAAATGCAATATACTCGTAAAAGATAATGAAAAATTATTTTTTCTCTTTCATAAGGGTTCACGGTATACTCATATTAAATTTCATCAAAATCTATTTAGTCATTTATTAGTTAATGATAAGTAGACAAAGTTTTGGTAAACTGGGAGGATATCCAGTATAAAATCATACTTGAAGACTCACTGGTTTAGTGTATGCCTTGTATAAGTTTTTATCGACAGCCTTACTGAATAAATAAGTAGATGATTATTTTTTATAAATACAATATATAATTAATAATAATATAATATTAATACAAAATATTTCATTTAATAATTTTCCCTGTGTCAGCCCTAGTGTCACAGCAACACAGGGATGTGCTCAACGGATGCTAACCTACTGCCTCATAACGGGACACGTGCACACGTCAGAATTGCATGGATATACCATCGACTATTTCAAAACTCCTCGTTTCCAGAATAACCAAAGAGGAGATTAAAAGAGAAATATTACAACATTTTCCATATAAAAGAATATTAATATTTTGCTACCAATTGCATGTCTTTATACGAAATTAACTATTATTAGCATTGGGTTATATAATAAATCAGCATCGATTATGGTTATTATATGATAATTTGTGATATTTTTAGATGGGAATTAAATTATAATCTCTAAAAGTATATGTATATAAGATAAATTGCTTTATCTTTTACATTAGTAATTTATTAGCTTACCTACCTACTATGAATTTATAATTGGGCATGTAGATTACATTAATTAATACATTTTTAATTTATACTTTAAGTTTCTCTGTCGTATAGGCTTTCTTATTGACATGCGTATTCTGTTAAAAGTGTTTTAAGTATTAAAAATAGTATATAGTAAAATTCAGGATTATAAGCTTGCTTGCCATTCTAATAAATCATTCTATCAGTGCTTATGGTAAGGTCAATGCGTACTTAAAGATGCTGTTGGGAAATCTGTTTCGTGTTCGCAGACCGTTATAGTGAATATGCACAAGAAGATTTATTTTAATGGGTAATAATTGAATGGCAACCCCGCCTACACTAACGGTAGACGTTAGCAGAGTATCAGCGAAGGATGACAGGTGATTATGCAAAAGTAAATCAGTTAGCCCATCGCGATGAATTCAACTAGAACTAAGCACGATAGTTTCAAGACCCACGGGGACAAGGGACCACGACGAGGTAAAAGTGAGAGCGTGTATTGCTAGCAATAAGGTTATTATTCTTCCTTAACGCGAACAAGATATAATATAACATGCTGAAAGTCGAATAGATGAACAAAGATCATAACTGTTTGTGTACAAGAAAATAAGTCTGAAATAAATATAGTAGATTGCATGGTAATAAGTAAGACTATAAGTCAATATTCAATAGGTAAATTAAATGAAAGAATATAAATGAGACGTTTGTTAAGTAGTAATATATTATATTAGTTATTGTAAAAAAATATATAAATAAAAAAAATCTGAGAACATAAAATTTATTTTACCCTCTAACATATATTTAATATATATACAGATAATATAGATACTGTTTAGTTATGTGTATAATGTAATTTACAGGTATTATTAGAAATAGGAAGAGAAATATTAGAATTTGCAATGTAAAACTAAACATACAATAGGAAGGAAGGAAACAAGAAATGATAGTATCAGGTCTTAGTTTTATACATATTTTATAATTAAAATAGCAATAAGAATATAAACACTCATTGTATTTTGATTCACAACACTGATTATATCAATTGAAATTACATATGTATAATATATAATTTAATATAATATAGAATCAGAAGTCACGAAGATATTATGTCGATGTAAATAATCGTCGATGAACGGTTGGTGACTAGGTAATTATGTGATTATTTTAGGTTATATAGATAAAGCATCTTCATACAAATGCTTTGAAAAAAGCAGGTCAACTTTTGCATGATAAATAGTTATGAGTGATGCCTTTATGATTTCTGTTTATTTTGTTTTATAATTTTTACATCTTCTTAATGCGTAAAACTCATTTTATTTATTAAGCAATTAAATATAGATACTTCAAGAAAAATTGCGTGCGTAAGTATATAGAACACTAATAAAAATACGAGTCGGCTAATTTGATAATTAGCTAACAAAAAGTTGGCTCGTTTTTGGGGCTCGACACTCTATCTATATAATCTAAGGTGATTGTGTATCATTTACCTACCTACTTAAAACTGTCTATAAGTACTATTTCTTGACCGTGACGTATCCATACTAAGATCAATACCATTTCAACATAGTATGTCGCGTGCTGGCACACTGATCTAAATACGAACGTATTGATAAAAAATGAGATAACATTTTTTTCTAATCACATCACTACTACACAGGTAATAAGACTGAAAACACGTCTTTATAACTTCAGTATGTCAGAAGCTAAACAGTTCTGTGCTACAGTATTTTTTTCTATTGGGTGCTTTTATAGGGTTGTGCATTTTGATTCTTTAGTAGAATTGAGACATAAAAAATGCAACTATGTAATTGAATTGGTATGCTTGTTTTCTTTCAGTTGTTTCACAAAATTAAAATACGCTATCAATTCAAACGCATTAACTGATGGTTTACGGGGGGGGGGGGATGAAGGATTGTTAGTAATAGCAACGTTAATCCCCATTGCTAGCAATATACCCTGTCAGGTCGACCTCCACGTGGTTTCCCCTGAAAACCATCGTGATTAATTATTGTCAAATTCATCGTGATAAGCTAACTAACCTGACTTCATCCTCATCTATCATCCCTCACTAGTGCCACGTTAGTGTATTCCGCAAGCGAAGGCAGCGTTACCGTTTCATTATCATCCATTAAATAAAAATTGTTAGTTTACTGTACGTTTTTCCTTATACAACATGACGATTTTTTAAGAGCATAGTAGAAGGAAAAATAGAAGAGGAAGACCAAGGAATAACTACATGGGACAGATAAAAGAAACACTAGGTGTCATGTCGTATAGGGAGGTCAAGGATATGGCCTGGGATAGAACTGGCTGGAAGAAGATGCATGAATTAGTTGCACCGACAAGAGGAAACTCTTAAATGAAAAGAAGACTGTACATTAGGAGTAGGTAAAATGTATATATATATATATATATATATATATATATATATATATATATATATATATATATATATATATATATATATATATATATATATAGCCTAATAGCATCCGTTATTGTATTCTGATCGTTAATATATTCTATTAAATATCGATTATGGTATAATGGCTGGTAATAATAAGCAATCGAAATAGGTGGTGGCCTATCAATGTCTAGCGGAACCCAATATATAGATATCGGACTGATATCGATATTACCCATACCTACTGTAGATAAATAAATCATCATCATCATCATTTCGGTCAATATCAGTTCACTGCTGAACATAGGCCTCCTTCATACTACCAGAGGGAGACTTTGTACAAAAGTCGATTGCTTGGGTACCTCTGTCCCATTAGTGTTTCTACCGTGAAGCAGTTGTGTTTGCATAGCGGTGTTTCGATTTGAAGGGTGGGATGTGGCGTGAATTTACTGGGTGCAGAGGAACATCACCTGAGTACTCAGGAATGGCAATGCATTGGGGGTATCATGGGCGAAACAGTATACTCTATTATGTGCATGGTACTGCTCATGTCTATAGGTGACGGTTACCACCTTCCATCAGGTGGGCCGTCAGCTTGTTAGCTATTCTAAGTTGTATAAAAAAATACTCTTGGGGGGTTTTGCCAGTAGTATCAAGCGTACCACGCTTGACAGGCGGCAGGCTGCTACTTTGGCAACCGCAGTTAGGCTTTTGATGATGTTTTAAAAGGAATACTGCTGCTTATCCTTCAACCATAAGTTCTCTTAGTCTACAAGACATGATGATGACAATGACACAAGCATGATGGAGTCATGACCACAAATCTTTTGCAGAGAGTGAACGGAATAATCAATGAACATGAATCATTGAAATGAATGATGATTACAATACTGCTGTGTAATATCTTTGTCAAATGATGATGATTTTATTGCAATAATTTTTATCACTTTTTTTCCTTAATATGGAAATGAAACGTGATATTATTGCGTTAGTAAAATTTTGGCTGTATGTAATTTGCCAAATTAAAGATAACACAGCCAAATATATATGCGAACAATTCTAAAAGGTCATTCAAAGTTCTCTAATTGATCAGCAATATGAAGCGCCTTCTGTTCGTTTTCATCAGTGTTCAAGTGAGTATTATATTTTCATAAATATTTATATAGTTTTTTTTTTAATTTTTTATATATAATTGTGTCTACTTGGCAATTTAATAATTGAAAAATTGATATATACCATTTTCGTGTAATTAATTTTTTTAAATTTCTTTCTAATTCCATGTTTGTCCAAAAAATATGAGATTTTACCAAAGAGAGACTTTGTACCAAAGTCGTTCGCTTGAGCACCTCTGTCCCATTCGTGTTTCAACCGTGAAGCAGTTATGTTTGCATGGCTGTGTTTCGGTTTGAAGGGTGGGAAATGACAGTGAATTTACGGGGTATAAAGAAATACCACCCAAGTCCTCAGGAATGGCAACTCTGTTATATCCATGGTACTGCTCATGTCTATAGGCGACGGCTACCACTTTCCTTCAGGTGGGCCGTCAGCTTGCTTGCCATTCTGTTGCATAAAAAAAGGAGTGGTATTACTTAAATTTATTTATTGCTATTTATATTCCGCGGTTTTTCCACCTATATTAGTATAAAATTTCCGAGTAGACCCTGTATAGAATGGACCAGTCCTTCCTTTCTCGTGGGTGTCGTAAGAGGCGATGAAGGAAACTTAATGGTCGGGGGTTGGGCAGCAGCGTCTCTCTTGGAATATCACCAAAGCCTAACTGCGGTTGCCAACCCGCCTGCCAAACGTGGCAACTACTGGCATAACCCCCTATTATGGGGGGAGAAAGGGATTGTTAGTAATGGAGACTGAGAATCCCATTGCTAGCAATATACCCAACCAAGTCGACCTCCTCGCGGCTCTCCCTATCTAAAACTATCATGGTTAATTCCTGATAAATTCATCATGATGGGCTAAATGGCCTGTTTTCATTCTCATCTATCACCCTTCACTGGTGCTCCGCCAGCGTATCCCGTTAGCGCAGGCGGGGTTACCATACCATTTTCACCAATAAAAAAAATCTAATTATGTTCAATAACAGAAATAAACAGCTGATATCATAAAGATGAATAGTAAAAAAGTATTTTTGTATTAATTGCTCATATCTATATTTATTTATATATATTTATATATATTAATAATCTCAATTGTTGGGTTAGCATATAATAATAATATTATTTCTTTATTACAGATAACTAAGATCCATTTTTATTAGTAACCATTGACTTAAACTATGTTAGTAAAAAAAAATACAAAACAAATCATTTTATGGCCCCTATAATAATTATGACCCACAATGAGAGGATCGGGCTATCGTATTTATTACACGATGCCCACAAAAATATAAAAACGTGTTTTCAAATATATCATTCAATTCCCAGGTATCACTGCAAACTTGCCCTGAAACGACGTCAGTGCAAATCCAAAACTACGACGGCCCCATCTTCCTTCATTCTCCGAGCCCGCCTTACTTTTGCCGGCCAGTTCCGACTTACGAAAAATACGAACTCGATTGTACATGCATCAAGCACCCTAGTTACGTCCCTGTCTCGTCTAGTCCTGTGTACAATCACGGCTATTACCGAGACTTACCAACAGTTACAGACAATTCTTTCTGTTCCGTGGACAACACTAGAGTTACACCATGCACACCATGCACATACACTACGTCATACACGAGATCGTGTGACCGTGACACGGGTACATTAACCAGTGGTTTACCACAGATGGGTAAATATGGCAATCAAAACTTGCAATACGAATGTAAGTGCAGTGGATACATGTAAATTGCGATTGCGCAATTATCATTCACTCAATATTGTAATATTGTGCAATAATGAATTATCCAAAAACTAGTACTAAAAAAGTACTAAAAAGAACCAAAAAAAAAAAAAATGTAAATTAAAAGAATGTTACAATATATTAAAACATGTACTTGAGTATATAAACTCAATGTGTAATTTAATAAGTTTCTTGTTGTAATGTATTAACTACCGGTTTAATTTACGTGTAATTTGGCCGAGAAATCTCGACTAGTTTCGGGACCATTCGGGACCCTTACTCTTGAGCGGCTTGATCCGAGTGTACGCTTAAGTTAAACCGGTAGTTATTACGTTACAATACAATGTGTATTTATAAAATTTTCTTTCTATCTAAGATACATTATAGATAGATAGATAGATAGATACTCTTTATTGTTTCCTCCAAAAGATTACAACAGTAAACTTATTATAAATACAAACAATCACAAGAAATAATCACAATGAGAAAACAATGGGCGACCTTATCGCTAAGAGCGATCTCTTCCAGGCAACCTTTGGATGGAGAGGAGTAATTATAAACAATTTAGTAGGAGGCATGATAAAAAAATTTGTTAGTTCTAGATATGGGAGATGTAATACATATAATAATATAAAAATTATCCTTACTTATTATTATATATACATATATATACATATACACATACATATACATACACACACATATACATACATATACACATACACATACATACACACATATACATACATGCATATGAACGTTCACGAAAAATATGCAAGAAATAAGTATGCTAAGCAGACATATAAACATATTAAGGAGATGACAACTTGCTTAAATAAAAGTCCTTAACTTTTGTTTTACATTATATTTCTCAATATTGTGATAGTTTGTATGTGTCAATACCAACGACTCACTGAAATCTAGATAAACCCTACTAGGTTTTTGGGTACATCATATTGTGTATTGAATAAATAATAAAAATAAATATATCTATTAATTGTCAGTTTTAATAAATTATAATTTGGCTTTAATATTTTGTTTTAATTTTTTCACCATAACATGCCTAAATTTAAAGCAGCCTTTCCTAAAGTGAGCGATAACGCCCCCTTGTGGGCGCTGCAGGCCTAAAGAGGGGCGGTAAGAGACCCAGAAAAAATGGGGGCGTTATGTAGAGGTTTGGGAGGTTGTTGACCTTGAAGTAATAGTGGTTTTTAAGTAGGTGAAAAAATGGGAGCGCTAAAAAAGAATTTATTCTCAAAGTGGGCAGTAGACAAAGTAAGTTTAGGAACCCCTGATTTATAGTAACTTTTATAATTAACCATGCTAATTAGAAGGGAACTTATTTCGATTAAGTTTTTACTCTCGACTTCCCCGCGAGACTAGAATGTCCTTCATAGAGCCCTTCAAATAGGGTATTTCAAAAAGAGCGATATTATTTGAGAAAATTGTACAGCCAAAGATAGTACCTACTCTTGCAAACCTACTTAAAGCCCCATTGCTAGCAATTTATCCTATCAAGTCTACTTCCCCCGTGGAAAACATCGCGGTCAATTCACCTTTACCTATCATTCCTCACATGTGTCCCGTCAGTGTACACCGACAACGCAGGCGGTGGGGGGGATCGTTAGTAATGGAGACTACCAAGCTCACTGTTAGCAATATACCTCGTCTGGTCGACCTCCACGTGGTCCTCCCTGGAAACCATCGTGATGAATTCCAGATGCATTTATCACGATGGGCTACCTGATCTACTCTTTCATTTTCACTCATCATCCTTCACTGGTGTATACCGATAGCGCAGGCGGGATTACCATTCCATCATTATCTCATAAAATAACCTACTTAAAACTAAAATACATAAAGCTTAGTGTCTTTATATGATATTTATAATTTAATAAGTCTATCTTCGGACACACTGTGCAGACTGTGTGGGGGAGAAATCGGAATCCATGGAATGCACTTGATGTGCAACTGCGATTCGTTGGCAAGTATGCGTATGAGTCTACTGGGGACGGCTTATCTAGAACCAGGGGACTACAGATATCTTAAACCGCGGGATATCGTCAAGGTAACACAAAGGATCTATGAAATGATGGTATAAGGCAGGGGGAAGCACAAAAGATCTCAATGGGTCGACGTGCAACAGCTTAGCTGACCCCATATGCGAATATAAGATAAGATATAATTTAATAAATAACTGCATACATGTACATTAAAACACCTGTTTTTTTTAACCTCTGGTTTCCCTTCAAAACGCATAAACACCTGTTCTTGTTATTTGTTCTCATAAAACTATTTACATTGAAATGTCATTCTTAAAAACAAAATAAATTGCTAATATCTCTAAATTCAGAAGGTTGCCTTAATAAACAGGAAATGAGTTATATAACAGCTATTATAAATTATAGCATAATGATTTATTCTTTTATATATTTTATTGAACGATCGACATTGAATATATAGGGTTGCCAATTTATTAGACTTCATAAAGGAGTGGTAAATGAGAGCTAATAAATGTGAGATAATTAAATGGTAACCCCGCGTCTGCTATCGGTATACGCTGACCAGTGATAGATAAATAGATGAGGATGAATTAACCACGATGATTTCTAGGGGAAACCGCGTGGAGGTCGACCTTTTAGGGTGTATTTTTAGCAATGGAGTTGTTAGAACCCATTACTTATAAATCCTTTTCCCTCGTTGGCAACTGATTGCCATCAGTTGCCAATTACTACTTCTTCTTCTGTTGAATAAAAATGGTTTATTAATAAACACACATAGGTATAATTAAAGGGATGAGGGAGGAGGAGGGAGGGGGAAGAGTGCCGGGTGGACCGAGCCACTTCCTTTGAAAGTCGGTTGAAAATAAACAGCAAATCCAGCTAAGTACAAATCAGGCGCATTACCAAATGAATCCATTTCGTAAGTCAAGTAAATTTCTGCATACAGCTAGCGCGAAACCTTTGCGTTGTACTTGCGCCATTTACAACTGACAAAACATCCGATCTGACGTTATTTATTCTTAAGAGCGTTCATACCTTAACTCACCGAAGTTTAGCAACGTCGCATTTAATTGTCAATTTTCAAAAACAATGGAACCGTTCTCAGTGTTATCGTCTAATTGTTTAAAAAGTTCTCCACAAATGAAATGAAACTTTAATCCTACAATAATGTTCTTGTTAAGTTCCTACAAACTTGGATTTTGATGGAAAAAATGTATATGAAAAATTTTGATACTGAAATATGAAGTGGGTGCAAAGTTATTAATGACAGATTTATATGCAACATAATCTTTGATTAGTTTTAGTTCGTTAGCAGAGTACGTTTTTATATTATTATGGTAAACAAGCATATATCTAATATCAGAGACGTCACGTGCGCATTAGCTATCCTTAAGAAATATTATTGCACCTTTCTTGAAGATCCTCATGCTGTAGTCTTGTTATACTGTATAGTTTAATAAAAATATGTATTTCGTATATTTGTGCAATATAGGTTTTTATATGCACATAAAAATTACTAATCCACTCTTGCGCCACCTACTTTTATCAGTTTTTTTTTAATCAAAGATTATCCATAAGAGATTGCCATAAGACAGCCTTTTGTACATTTATGTATACATTTTATATATGTATATATCTGTATTTTGTACTACTCTACTTCATTTGAATTTTCTAATTGTCATCATTTTATGATATTTTTATGATTTCAGTGCAATAAATAGTTAAATAAGTAAATAGTTTCTGGAGGAAACCTCGATGGGAAAATCGTTCCACAACCTGAGCGTTCGTGGATGAAACTCATCTGAAACCGCACTATACATTTCTTAATTTATAATCAATCAGATAAAAAATCTATTTTTTTTTTCGAAAATTGACAAAAAATTTGTTACTCTTTTGTAAGCTGAGGTATGAACGCTCTTAAACTTGCAACGCAACAATGACACTTAGGCAATTTGTTGTGATTACTCAAAAATTGGGATTTGCAACTGATACAGATTTCACACGCGAACAATTAGTTTTCAGTTATCTGAATTCTGCAGCTGTGAATTCAATTCATTGGCTTTCAAATACAGACCCGGTGCTTGGCATTTAGTTTCTAGTTACTACATAGTGTGTCATAATTCTTGATATTTCATAAAGGTTTGTTTAAATTCAATTGTTAAGGTCGCTCACACGCAAACAAACAATAATACTAAATGTAATATGTTATGAATAAACTATTGCATTGCAAAATACATTGTAATTGGTAAATGTATTCGATTTGTTAGCTTATATGTTTATGTATAGGGTTATATTAATTTAATGTATTATTATAATAGTTTTTTTTGTTACTAGCTTTATCAGTGGCTTCGTTCGCGTGACCGGGATATGTTGTTTGATTAGAATAAATAGCAGCCTGTATCCGGCTATTTATGTATTCTTTATTCTATGTACATAGTACGTGTATATCAGCTTTTCCCAAAGTGGGCGATAACGCCCCCTTGTGGGCGCTGCAGTTCTAAAGGGGGCGGTAAGAGACCCAGAAAAAAATTCGGGGCGTTGTGTAGAGGCTTGGGGGGTGATTTGTTGATTTTGAAGTAATAGTGATTTTTAAGTAGATGAAAAAATGGGGGCGCTAAAAAGAATTTATTCTCAAAGTGGGCAGTAGACAAAGTAAGTTTGGGAACCTCTGGTGTATACCGAATTTCATAGTGATCAGTTAAGCCGTTAAGGCATTCATCATCATTATAAGGCTCCCTGTGTTGTCCATGGTGTTATATCCCTATTATTACAAATTAACTCTGTTTATACGATTTTTTAATATCTTGCAGGGGGGGGAGATAAGGGATTGCTAAAAATGGGGATTAGTAGCCCCATTGTTAACCCATGTCAGGTCGACCTCCTCGCGGTTCCTCTTGGAACTATCGTGCTCTATTCCAAGTGAAAACATCACGATAGGCTAACTGATCGCTTTTTTATTGCCACCGATCATCCCTCATTGGTGCCCCGCCAGCGTATACCGTTAGTGCAGGTTCGTGGTAAACATCATAATAGTAATTTAAAAAAAGCATAAATGAGAGTAAAAACATTTTTTTATTTATAACTTTTTTTAGTAGTATCTATGTTACACTAAGTCTTTGCTTTTACCATCTGTATGAATTTAAGTATGGCTAATATTTTTATTTTAATAAATAATAATAATTAAGATTGTGTTCCCCAAAAAAACCGAATTTAATTGTGACAAAACCTTTTACCATTTTATATTTAAAAACTAAACTTCTGAATCGATTTTTGATATAATTCCTATGGGACCATTCTGAAAATATATTCTTTCTGATAAAAAAAAATCCAAATCGATTTACAACTAACTGACTGAGTTATGAAGTACTAAACATAAAAAAAATACGTAA